CCGGCCCACGGCCCTGCGTGTCCCCACACCCCTGCGTGTCCCCACACCCCTGCGTCTCCCCACGGCCCTGTGTCCCCCCATGCCTGCCCACACGGCGCAGCACAGACAGTGTGCTGAACCCTGACCCGATGAGCCCCGTGGCCGATGCCCGTGGGCTTCCCTGCCCCAGCCACCACCCCTCCGGCCCCCCACCCCACCTCCGCCCTCTCCGGACCCTCCTGCTCCACGGCCAGGCTCCTGGACAAGGAACCTGAGTCCATCACTCCTCTGGGCATCACACACTCTGTGCCCTGCTGCTCTGGAGCACCCCGACAGCGAAAGGCAGCCTGGAGCGGAGAGCTGCCGGCGGCACCCCCGGCTGATCGGGGGGCTCAGTCCTGGGTGAGCACCAGCACCTGCCCCGCGTCCACCCACTGCAGCGAGAACCTTTTCTCCTCCTGTTCGGGAGAGGCGTCAGCCCCTGGCAGTTCTGTGCTCTGCGGGGGGCTGTGTCAGGACGTGGGGGCTGCTGGCAGCCCAAGTCAGGGAACCCTTGTTTCTGGGCTGCAGCAGCTCTACTTGACGGAGGCGATGGCAGTGACCCGTCTGTCTCCATGTTTACACCCAGTTCAGGCCCAAGGCAAGATGTGCCACCAGCTCTCACCCCCCAGGGCCCTCAAGGATGTCCTGGCCCTGGGCCCAGAGCTGTGCCCGCACCAGCCCTGCTGTGCTGGGTCGGCCAAGCAGCGGGCTCCCGGGGGCTGGGGGGCTGCAGGATGAGGGCAGGGCGCAGGCAGGGTGCGGGCAGGGTGCTCGGCTTCACTGGCCCAGGCAGAGGGGACCGCTCGCCGTTCACCGCCCTGCCTGCTGCCCCTCCGGCGGCGATGTCAGAGCTGGAGCGGCGAGGAGCGTGGCCGCAGCAGGGGCGGGGGGTGGCTCCCCGCACCCCGGGGTTGCCCCTGCCCTGGCTTTCCTCTGGGCGCTGTGGGGAGTCGGGGTCCGGGTGCCCAGCAGCAGCAGCGGGGTGTCCCAGCCGTCCTGGGCAGCCAAGGTACAGCAGCAAGTCTGCCGAGCCTCTTGGAAAATGTGATCCATGCTAATTATGCCGAAAAAAGCCCTTCTGATAACGAGTATGAAATGGAAGTGTAGATAATACTCATCTCTGAGTGCCATTAATCTTTAAAACTGGAACAATAAGTGAAAACACTGCAGGGCATATGAAGCAAGGTGTGATTCACATCTGCTCCTCCGTGGCCGCCGCCTGATTTGTTGGCACAAGGCAACTTTCCTGCGCTGTTTCAACAGAGCCGCATTACATAACACCCCGGACTGTTTTGCTTGCCTTTATCAATCAAAGTATCTCCTCGGTGTTTTAGTGGCCTGCTGTCCGTCGTCCCGGTACAGCTGGGGAGCAGAGGAGGCAAGCCCCCCAAGCCCCCACTCTCCTTCAGCCCGGCTGTGGCTCCGGCCCGTGGCAGCAGGGACGGGGTTCCCCGGGGCAGGAGGGTCTCCCCGAGCCGGGACCCTGCGCCCCGTGGGCAGGGGCACGGAGGCTCCTTCCCCAGCGCTGGGGGGCAGGCGCTCGTGGTGCACCCGCGGACGCCCCGGCGTACCTGTCCCCTCCCAGACCGCACAGAGACGCACTCCCCAAGCCGGGGCTCTCCAGGCCCTCTGCCACCCTGACGTGCCGCATCTATCTTCACATTTGATGCCTTTCATTTTCAAATGGCTCTCTCTGGGATTCGCTTTCTTTTATTTAAATAGTGGGTTTGCTGAAGTGACCTTTTAGCTGACTCCGAGGAGAGGTGGGCAGCGGCCTCCCGTTGCAGTCCC